ATATTGCCAGTAGAAATTAAAATATAACCTCTTCAAGTTTTTGAAATAGTACAATAAACCAATCAGTTTATGATCTGGTTAAGTAATCATGACTGAAATGTTTGAAAAAGAAGGATGTGTTTCCAGTCTTCTGCAGGGAGGTACTAAATCAAATGGGCTGCTCATAGACAACTTGCTGTTCTGAAAGGTAAATGATATATGTGCCACAGGTGCAGGGGTTTGAGGGGCAATGTTCTCAGCTGTCTTCTGCCAGAAACTGCTCAGACATCCCTAAGTGTTCCCACTCATTCCATGAGTGATACTGTGATGTTACATCTGGAATGGTTGCAATTGTGTGACTTGCTCTGTTCTTCTCCAATACCTTTTGAATTGTCTTTTATCTCTTCAGGTTTTTGATCAAACAAGATGGTCTTTATTATGCATGCTTCTGTCTCAGCAGGGCTAGGACTGGTAGAAGAAAAGCCTTTCATGACAAGTTTTGACTGCACTCTTTGCCTCAGTGTACTGACTGAAAATTAGTGTCAAAGTTAAAATACTATTGTATTTTGTAGAGATTTTGAATGGTCTGGAATAAACGAAAAGCAGAGATGCAGCCAACTCAGGACCAAACAAATAAATAAGTGAGCTCTCCCTATGTAACGCCTAGAGTGAGGCAATAGCATTCAATTAATAGACATTTGAAGAGGTATTTTTCTTCAGAGACAATATTGCTGTTAAACTCTTTTTGAGCAAAAGATTCTGTGTATCTTTGGACAGGACAGCAACTTGTGATATTTTTACTAGTTTTTATTTTTGAAATTTTGATTACTACAACTAATGGCATGCTGACATGTCAAAGAAACTAGGAAATATTAGGCAAATGAAAATTTGCAGCTGACAAATGGAAATGGTCTCAAACCATTTTCTGACTTACGGAAATGGTCTCAAAGCTTTAGGAACCTGTAACATAATATGTGTATCTAGATACACATAACCTTGTCAGCCTCTGAGAATTTTCATAGACATAAATCTAGCATGTTCCACAGCCTCTCATCAGCTGTTTTTAGGTAAGTCATGGTTCATAATCCATGGGAAAAATGTTTGCAGGCATTCTGGTATTGTAGATTTTAGCTACTGTAGGTAGTAGCTAACTACAGATGTATTGTAGAGGGACTGTTGGATTAAAAAATTGCAATGATAGAACAAGAAGAGTGTTTCCATACTGGTTTCAATCTAGCAGTAAATGTAAAATGGGAAACCAGCTATGTTTGATGGTTTGTGCACTTTTTTCCATTTCTTTAAAATGGTGCACTTACCCATTGTAGAAGTCCAGATATGCAAACTGTAAAATAGGTTTCTTGAATAAAACTATTTCTATATTAATTAAAAAAAAATCAAAACCATTAGTATCTCCAAATAAATGCGATAATTGCAGCACATATAATGCTTGAAATACCAGAAACTGTTTGCAGCCCAGTGCTATGTTAGTTCAGACCAGCCATGAGTTCAGTGTCCATAAGCTCCTGTCTCAAGGAAGGAATAGTTAATTAGTGCTGTACTGGACACTGGAGTCCCTAGACTCTCCAGCCATGCTGATCTGTCATGTGTGGTGGACCTTTGTCTCTGGACTTATGCCAGGCAGTGCTGGCCAAGCAGTTCTTCATGCCAGAAGCATTTCCCAAGGGGGTGGATAATTGTTCTTATGGCTTTGCAGAGCAGTTGTGAAATATAGTGACAGAATTTGTGATTTTATTTTTTCATCTGGGTCCTCAAGGTTGAAGTGATCTTCTGTGGATTAACCAGTGTTAGGGGATTCTCTGCAATTTACTACCTGAGAACTGTTGTAGAATCTCCTGGTCCTGTGCTTCTGAAAGACTCAACCATTGTGACTCTTAATATTGTCCTCATCTAGGACTTCTTATCTCTGAATTTCCTCAGTGCCACACACAATTTTGTACTTTCTCTCACCCATTAGCCTGCAGTCTTTTAGAGATACTAATCCCTGTGTGGAAAATGTCCCATAACTTTTTTTTTCTTTTTTTTTTTAGTGTTGGAAAGGAAAGGCTGTGGTCAGAACTATGCTCATAATCCAGTCTATCCAACAATATATATTTTGTACTTAATTTTCCCCATCCAAAATAGCTACTTTTTTTCATTTTGGGCTAATTCTTTTGCTCTTCTTTAATTCGTAAGGTGAAAACATAACAGGTGACAGAACTGACAGAGGAAGGGGGGATATTGAAGTTGTTTCCTAGTGTTTCTTCTAAATTGAAAGTTGAGTTATTCTGTCTTGGGCAAGGAGAACCCCCTTCATTGTGATTTACCATACACACTGCCTGTGTCTGCTGGAGCTCTGCAGTGCCAGGTGGGGTGTGGGCTGGGAACCCCAGTGCCCCAAAACTGGAGTTCTGCAGGAGAGCAGAGGCTGGGAGCTCTGCACAGCCCTGCTGCTGTTTTAGATCAGGATTCTTTGGTTTATGGAACAGAGTTGTTCCCTCCTGCAAGGCAGGATTACTGGATTTCCAGTGTGACAGTGAAAAGTAGTAGGATTATAGGATCGGTGTGGGAACGCTTGTGTTGGAGCTTATGAGCTTGTCTGCTGTGAACTGTGTATTTAAGACTGCTGATACTCTGAAATGAGTAATGACACCTGTTATACAGACATTTGAAAATCAGATACAAGTGTGTCCTTTAAAATTTCCCTTCAATAGGTTGAGATTTGTTTATCATGGCAAGTATCTACATATGGAGAGAGAAAGTGTTGATATTAAGCTGCTAAAGCTGAAGCATTTGAAGATCTCTTCCATGATCCTAAACTTTTAGCATAAAAATTCCGGTTATGATTTCTCTGCTGCCATGAAAAATGGAAGTTAGGCTTATTTTCCAAAGGATCCCTTTAACAGATGGATTTTCATGCTTAAAAATGTTAAATAGTTGTGTTTCCCCTCATCAGGTTTTGAAACTGTTTCTTTCAGTAGAGTTGAAATAATCAGCTGTAAATTCTTTTCTCTTCTTTGCCTGTCTCCATGGTAGTAAAGTGATTTAAATTGGTATGTCATCTCAGTCCTTGTAACAGTGCCATCCTTTTTAAATGTGACCTGTTTTAATCCCCAGTGCTGAGATTCAGATAGTACTCAGACTCAGATCATAGCTTCTGCTCTGCCATGTAGTAGTTGGAGCACTCTGCAGTGTGTTAGAAAAACAAGAGTCTAATGTCATTAAGACATATTTATAGTTTGTTTATTTTTTGCATACAGAGAAAATGATTAATTTTGAGTGGGAGGGTTTTGGTTTTTTTAAGATGTAGGAGATAAAAAGAAATGGAATTCTCCCTTGGAAGAGCAGAATTTGTTTCTTGGAAGTATTAACCATGCTTCAACAATAACATATATTCCCTGTCAGATTTCTGAATTTAAGGAAATGATAAAATATTCAAATTTAAACTCTAGATGGACTGGTGAGACTCTAGATATAATATCTCCATTTGCTAACATATAACGTGAAGTGTTTAAAAAGTTTGACCGTACACACAGGTCAGATGTGAAAAAATATTTATCACAGGAGGGCCGTACAAGATATTTATGGTTTCCAGAGAAGAGAAAATATAGTCTACCATTCAAGGAACTTTAGTTAGTAAATAAAGTTTATTCCAAAATATTCAACAATGGTATTGTAAGCATAATAGGTGTTAGACACTTTTCCCAGAAGCTGTATGGGTCTTACATGCAAAGTGATATACAGAGCTCTTATAAGATTTTTCTGGCATGTACTTTTTTCTTTTTTGTTTCCCTTAGCACAGAAAAACATCCATTAGTGATTCTAATCATGCACCTGTTATGTTCTCTATCTCCTTAACCTGCTCTAATGAGTTGAAAGTGCTTGCGTTTTAAAGACTTCAGAGAAACTGATTGGATTTTAACAGTATTCACTAAGAAAATGTCTTGAGGTACATTCCATTAAATTTAATTGCTGCCTCTCTTACTGTACCTTTGTTAGTGTTGTATGACTTGGGAAAAACAATTTGAGTGTGTGTTGTGTTCTAAGCTGTTGTTGAGACTTGAATGGAACATACAGATGTCTGCATATTAAGAACTTGACCTGTTTTGTCCATTTAACTTGGAAACAAAATATTTGGAATTTATTTGTGTAGTAATGACAGGAAGCCCCTTGTCTATGAAAGGACTCAGTAGGATGATCCAGATTTCAACACTTCTTCTATTGCTGCAAGTACATTGTCTAATAGTGATTAATTTCAGTATCCATTGGAGGCCTCTTCCTAACCCTGCAATATTTGAAAGAAACACATTTGGTGAATTGTCCAATCTGACATCAAAGCAGACATATTCTCCAAAGTTCTCACTCGATTCAGTGGTAATTTGTTTTGTTGGTTTTCAGTGAAGTAAAGTATTGTGACTTTATTTTAGGAACAGCAGTAAAAAATGTGATCCATATTTTGCTGAAATACTGAACAGTAAACCAGTTTCTTCTTTGCAGTAGTGGACAATATAAAGAAAGAACTTTTATTACTGAGCATTTATGCAGTAAACTCATTATATCTAGAGCAAGACTTGCTAATATGAAGTTTTTAAAGTTACTGTGTGAAGTTGTGGCACTGGTGAAGGGAAGGACGGTGGTGATGTTGCTATAAATGCTGATATAAAGCACAGCAAGGACCTCACCATGATTGAGGGAGCTGCTGTAGAAGATTGGTAGTACAGTAATCTGGTTCTTGAGAGAGCTTTTATAATGTCAATAATACCTGGCTAGAATTTGACTGGTTTCGTAGGCACTGGCAGAAGCTGAACTCTCAGTGCTGCTCATACTGCTTAAATCTTTTTATATGTAGGTAATAGAAGACCTTTTGATATGTTAAAGACTTTAAGTCTTTTCCAGCTCCGCTGTAAAATGCGTCTTCTGGCAAGAAATTATTTGTGACATACAGAACTGAATAGGAAAGATTTAGAAAATGGATTCTAAAAGAGGTCACTGTCATTAATTTAAATTTGTTTCTAACATTTCAGATTTTTCTTCTTGCCTGTCCCCCATGTCGCACTGCAATGATTCTCTTCAGGTAATACCTCTTCCTTACTGTATTTCTGTCTACTTGTACAATATATTTTAGAAGTTAATCACTGCTTAATTTATAAAATACTAAGGGAAATATCAAGTTGGAAAGGCATACTGGTTGAATTGAAAAATGACACCTTGAAAAGCATAAGGGCTTAAATCAGGGTCTTGGGCCCCTTATCCTTGCTTCTTCTGTGTTGGTGGGTTTGGCCTCACTTATGAGCAATTCAGCTCAGCAATAGTGGATTAATGCAGATAAATGTATGAGCTACTATAATTTGTGTTATGGACCTCAAACCTTTTGAACATCCTCAGCCGAGGTTAGTAACTGGGCCTTGCTGGAAGCCATGCAGGCATTCTGGGTCTGACTTCAAAACTGTGGATAAGGAAAGTTAAATAGGCAAAGCAAATTCTTTTTGACTTGGTTTGATATTTCTCACATCTATGCAGTTTTTTCCAAAATACTGCATATTGTTACTAACCTAAGGAACCACGAGAGTCTCTGATGTGCAGGAGGCTCTATCAGGCTGCAGCAGCAGAGCCCAGTGTGCAGCTGAAGGTGCAGCCAGTGTGTTGTGGGGAAGGTCTGGTATTTCCCAAGCAGTGGTACTTGGAAATGGCTGTAGTTGCCACCGTGACATTAAACTGTGCTCTTCCTTGTCTTAGTCTAGGCAAAAATGATACTGGGGGAATGCTTTAGACAGTCTTTCTGCAGCTTTTTCCTGCTGTTCCTTATTTCTGCAGGGATTATGCTGAACAAAGATGTGTATTAGCATCTCTGTCTTGGACAATGTGAAAAGTATGTCTGCTGTCCTGGAAATCTTTGTTAAAGACCAGTTGTAGAGTGGAGGCCACAATATTTGTTGTTTTTCAGAATGGGTATATATTTTTCTAACACCCTGACATGCAAATTATACATAGCATACAAATTATATTTGAAAATCTGTTTTAAAATTTTAATACCTTTTCCTCCCTCAAGTTACTTTTAAATTCCTAGGAATTTGACAGACAGTGGTGGGAGACAGTTTATTCTTTACTTTGTGTCTGATGTAAAGTAGACTGAAACAGTTCTGATACTAATTTTCTGTTCCTGTGATCCAACAGTAATTCAGAAAAAGATAGCTGAATTTGAATGCTATACAAATTGTGGTGTGTAACACTACTTTCCTGCCTTGTGCTTTGCTTAGGGCTTGCTGTTGCATTTTGATAAACGTAATTCTTTTCTTAAAGGGACTTTCAAATTCTTAAAGCTTTACTTTGAAGCTGTTTATGCACAGCATTAAAGAAGAGTAAAACCCTTTATCAAAGATGCTGTTTTAAACTCTGTAAGACAAATTAACAGCAGAATTCTAACTGTTTAGCAGCTTGTATCATGAACAGGATTATGGGCAGTCCAGGCTTTCTAGGAATCCAAAGCTCATTATAGAAAGCAGTCCTACTTTAGGAAATTCTTTAGGTGTGTATTTGAAGATAGGGTTTTGTCCAGTTTTATTGCATTTAATAGTGACTTAATTCAAAGTGAAGCCCAAACAATTTTTTTTAAGTCTCTTGCTATGTTTTGTTGAAGAGATACTACATAAAATACATGGAAATATTGCATTTTATTTCCATCTGTGAAAATAATATCCCATCTCTTTTGTAAGGTTGCAGATGCATATGCTGAACGGTGCCCTCTTAGCATTGCTGTTTCCTGTTGTTAATACACGCCTGGTGAGTGTACTGTGGTTTTCTCCTCCATTTTCATTTATTTCCAAAAGATTATCTTTGGAGAGATGTCAGGTGTTTGCTTTGCTTGGCCTTTAAAGTACATTTTACCAGGCTGTAGACTTCTGGTCACTACACTGGAGCAAGAATAGCAATCATAGATGTTTGGATGTTTATAACTCAGTGAAAAGACAGCACTGCTGTATTAAGTGTTAGTTCCAGTCTAGCCACCAATGGAGCTTGATGGCTTTGAAAGAGGCTTTCACAGGTTTACTTTATGGCCTGTGGTCAAAATTCAGTTTCAGACTTTTCAAATTCTATGTAAATGTAAGATTCCTCAGGCCTGGAAAATGTGAAATGTTGTTGTTGGCTGTCATTCCCTCTCCCCCAGGATTAGGCACAGCAGATCTTTTTTTTCCCATTCAAGTTTTGGAATCTACTGTAAAACTTCAGTCTCCTGGACAAAAAAATTAGCCTGTTGGTGTTCCTAGTGAGATTCTTAAACCTACTGACCGTTAAATGTAAAAAAAGCTATTTTGAGTGTGAATTGAATTAAGTATTTCTAAGGTTTATTTAAAGAGCTGTTATCCATGCATGTGTAGAGGGGTGTATATGCATATATGCGTATATGCTTATAATTTTTTTCATATGATCTATCTGCAAAAATCTGCTGTTGCAGCTACTTGAATGTCTGTTTTAAGATAGATGTAAGTACTTTATGTTTAAGCAAACTATGTCCATAATAGAAGGTGAATTAATACTATTAACAAAATGGCTGTGGGCTTCAGACTCTATTTCAGATTTTGTTGCTGCCTCTCCACATGTTAGTCTTGACTGTCTAAGTAAGAAGAAGTAGAAACATACAGTTATGTGAAGTTTGCAATTACATTTTATTAAAACTTGGTACTGTTGAAGAGGCAACAAATTAATGAAACAAGTGTTATTTTCCTGATAAGAAAAACTGTTTTTATTTTGCATTAAAAACCATCTAGTTTTTGAGTAAATATGCCCTTAGGCGTGACAAAATTGATCTGGGTAACCTTTGAAGGAAAAAATATTGAACTATTTCATAAATCATTAGCCTGTATTTTCTCTGCCATTATCACAGATCTCATTCATATTAGGGCAGTGGTGATTAAACAAGAAAGATACAGACTACTCATAAAATTTTTCCTGTAATTGGGAACAGAGTAGCCAAAAGATACTGTCCAAGAGTAAATATTTTTGGAATAATTACAACTACATACTAATTACATAATTATAACTTAGTACGTAATATATATAACTAATATATAAATTATATATATAAAACTAATAAAATGTAACTTATGTACTTGATAGATAATTACAATTTAGGATATTTTTGGCCTAACAGCTAAGCTGCTAAGCTGCTTGCCAGGCTTTTCACTTTTCCATGTTTCTTCTGGCATAGGATAATGTCGGTGATGTTGTACAGCACTACCTTGATCAAGATTCTCTCATGGCAGACACACATTCTGCTCCACAACTCTCACTGTGGTTTTAACACTGACCTTGTCTTGAGAGCAATAAATGTTTCCTAAAACCTAGTAGGAATTTAAAAAAAAAACAAACCCACTCATTTTTTTCTGAGCTGGCTACTCTGGTTTTGTAATACTTAAGTGAAAAACTTTTGATTCAGTCATTCAGAATGAGAGCCAATCATTGCTTCAGCAGACAATGGATGTTTTAGTGGGTATCACCATTTGAGTTGTAAGTGTTAATTTGTTCAAAGTAATTTCCAGAACGCCTCTTACATTTTGTGGCACAGTCTGTTAGGGTCATGTGTTTTTGCTACCAATTACATTACTTAATGAAATGCGAATGTCTTTTTGTAAATATGCTTCAGTGTTAAGTTATCCTGAAGTGGAAGCTTCTGGCATAATTTCATGATTTTCATTTTCTTGTAATGTATCTGTTAACTTTGTTGTTGTTGTTGTTGTTTTAGAACCTCAGTAATTTCAAAATTCTTTTAAAACAGTAGTGTATTGAAAGTAGTGAAAATGGAGAGTTGAGATATTCACTGAAAATACAGTAGAAAGTTTCTCCCTTCTGTTATTTTAAACTTTCAATCAAACTATGCTAAACAATGCAGTTCAAAATCTTGTTGGACTATAACAGGCACCTGAGATAGTGTTCAAAAAAAATGTAGCCTGAAAGGGGAGGTCAGTCCAGTCTGTTCTTTCCAAGAAAATATTTTCCTGCCTTGGAATGAGGTTGAGGCGCCAACAATTAACAGACTCAAGCAACAAATGCACCCACTTGTACTTGTTTGACACTTAAATATTGCAGTTATTTGCTGCATTATTTGCCATGTGCTGATGGAATTAAATTCTGTGCTTTGGGATAGGCATTGGATAAAGATAAAACTGTTTCTTGTCCGATCAGTGCTATTGTGAGTTCTTCTAATCCTTTCAGAAATAAAGGAGAAGGTGCTGAGAGAGTTGGCTTGTTAGGCTCCCAAAAGGAAGCTGGCAAGATATATGATATATAGGAGAAGAAATATTTATTTTTACTCTGTTTTTATATTCTATGGCACACAGTGTAGGCCCTGATAACCTGGCTGTGCATGTAAATTCATTTAACTGCCACAAAGACTCTGTTTGGAAACTAAGTGGGTTTGCTTGGCCTTTCATGTTGCATTCATCACATTTTAAAGAAAAGTCTTTTCACTGGTTTAAAAGTGGGGATTTTTTGCAAGCTGATGTCCTGAAAATGTTGATATAGATAAAGTAAAAACCAGAACATATGCCAATAGTGTTGTATACATGGGTGTCAGCTCACATGGCTGTTTCAATGTTTCCAGAAGCTGCTATATTCTATTCTTAGAACTATTTGGCCTAAGAGAGCATTCTAAATCTGTGTAAGGAGCAGAATCATACTCTGAGCAGGACTTTGAGCGCATTCTGTGTATGCTTCAATCATTGGCTGCTGCATTGTTATTGATTGTTAGAGTAATAATTCACTGCACTAAATAGTTTGCCTGTAATGGCTATGCCTGCACAGCAGAATGGAATGGGTTGTGGTAGCACATTGTCATCTCTAAACCGGCTTAATCTAACTGGAACAGTGGGGGGCTTTTGAGAGATTGTGCTTGTGTGGCTGGTAGGTGATAAAGCCAAAGTTTGTGCATATTTGGGCATTTATACATGCTTTGTGCATTAAAATGGTATGAGTGTGTAATTTACTGATAATGTCTAAGAAGTTGGCTGGTACAGTACAGCATTTGGTATTTATTCTAGATGTACTACAGGAAAGACCATAATCTGAGAGTTGAGGTCCTATTCCTTTTCTGCCACACTACCGTCTTTGTAGAGAGTGATGCTCTTGCACTGTGCAGTGCTTGAGCCAGGGTATAAACAACTAAATACTGTCAGAAACCGGAGCAAAGTGTTAACCTGTAAGCCCACTGAAAACCAACTACTGTGTCTGAATGTTTAATCTTAATTTGTATTATGTCCACGCTCTTTTGGGGTGAACTCAAAATATCTGACTTCTGGGCTCCACTCTACTGCTGCCTTGAAGAGATTTTTCTAAAGCTGAATTCAGTGCATGGAAAGATCTCATTGCTCTCTTTGGCCAGTAGCTGGTTTAAGTTAGAACCTGAAGTCTTACTTGTTTTCACAAAGAGATTCTTTAAATCCTTGATTGATGGATGATACCTTGTGCCTCGTCTTCATTTCCAGTTTCTCCTTGCATGTGAAAAGCGCTTATGCTGAGTGAATCTTTTGATAAAACTGTTTATGGACAAGGCATAAGATGCAGGTGAGTTAGTTGTTCAGTACAGCTTTTTCTGTTTGTTGTAGCCTGGCTGTACAACTTGAGTGCATGGTCGTACTGCAACTCTGTAGCTCTATAGCAAGAAATGCACTTCCATAATCAACCAGGCTTCAGAACAAACCATCTTTTAAAGTGGTGAAAAAGATGTTTTGTTTAACACACAAAAAAATATTGTCAACACCACTGCAGCATAACAACTGTTACTCTGTTCTCAAGAGTGTCCTCACACAGTGTTTGTATAACAGATCCTCACATCTCCATGGCTGTGGAAGCCCTTTTGACACCAAAGATAAATGGAGAATGCTCCTAGACAGGAGTAAGTGCCTCATGTTGTGCTGTTTATATCGGGAGCAATTGTTTCTGAAGTGGGAGAAGTACAGCTTTTTCTCCAGTTAGGATTACTGTTTTAGCCCCATCCCAAATAATTTTAATTCCCTCAATTTTCTCTCTGTGTTGTTCAACGAAGGACAGCAGGAAAGGTTCAGATTTAGGAAACCTCACAATTTTCATGAAGTGCTTGCTTTTGCATACTGTTACCTTGCTTGTGTTTGTTTTGATACAGAATACTTGGAATGAAATAACCCAAAAGATTGTATGAGAGGGTTGTTTTAGCTTAGTCCCTAAAGGAGCTGGCTGACCACCTTGGAGGTAGCCATCAGGACACAGACAGTGTCCAGCAGGCAAGTACCAGGACTAGCATAATCCAGTTGTTGGTTTTAGAATCTTCTATGTTCAACATAGAATATAAGAATTGTAGTTGAATTTAGAAGATCACTATGTTATTTACCAACTGTTTGACTACTGTTTAGGAAGAAAATCAAGCTCTCTTTCAATCTCTCTTCTGTTGCTGTAGAAACTTCTGTAATGTTTCAGTTGTCGTGCCTAATTGCTGGCCTGAAGGCCTCACACTTATAAATAAACCCAATTTTATAACTGAAACAACTAATTGTATAAGTACCTTGATTATGTAACTCAACCAGTATGGATTGTTTGGGATCAGGTGAAGCCACTGGGGTCATGGGCAGCTGTTGGCCGGTTGGCCAGGTGGCAACTGGTTTGGCCAATTGGGACTAACCATACAGACCTTCATAACTGTATAAGGAGAAGAGGACTCAATAAGTTGGGTGTTGAGCATGAACCTTGGTGTGTTTTGTCACATGCCTGTCTCTAACACCAGTGACATTCAGTTTCAAGGCTGTGACTTCAGTGTCTCAGAAGAGTCATAGAAAAGGAGGGCTTTTCTCCCCAATCCTTGCTTCCCAACACACAAGCCACAGTGGTAGGTCCTGTGTCTGAATTCTTCTGACTGAAAAATGACAGGACAAGTCTGCATTTGAACCAAGGCTTTTCATTATTCCCATGAGATTTCATACTTGTGGTATTGTCCAATTTTGAATTCAGAAAAATAATGCAACAGTGTGGCTTTTCAGCTCTGTAAGTCAGATGCAGTAAAAAGCTGAATTCTGAATTTTTGAGTATTTTCCACTACTGTTCAGTTTTAAATGTGCTGCTTTAGTGTGATAAATAGATGTAGGCTAAGGTACTTATAGATGACAGTAACTTCCAAATACAGTGCATCCCCTTTTCTAACTGTTAAAGAGCTAGAAATAGTTGGGTCTGGGTTAGAAGGCTCAAACACAGTTATGGTTGAAGTTATTTTTAGTATTATTTTAAGTGTCTGACTTCTTAGAAGTTACACTAATTCAAATAAACACACAAATTACTAATTATAATTTCCCAAAAGTTGGCAGCTGGTGAGAAATACCTGATTTGCTATTAAATGGTAACTTGTTTACACATAATTCTGCAGCTTAATAATAATGACTAGTAATTTTATATTTTAACCTATATTTGGTCAAGCTTAGCGGTTCCATACATGCATGTAGGTTGATATAAATCAGGTGTTTTGATTTTTTGCACAGGCCTCTTCAGTAATTACTTGTATATATGTATTTATATATTTTTATATATAAAAGACCTCATTATAGAGTTCTCTGTATGTCTGTCTAAGGTGGCAAGAAGGTGGCAAGACTTCTATGCTGTGGGTGTGTGTGTGTAGTTTCTGATTTAATTACTTGAGTGGTTTGCATTGTTATTGGTTATTCATACTAGCCAATAAAGGGAAAGAGCAATCTTGTGTTATTCCACTTTGTTGTGCTTCTGGCTAATTCTGGAAGTGCTGTGTTTGTATTAAGGGGGATGGAATGGATATAGTTACCTGTACTTTCAAGGGACTGACCATTAATGTTTGTTTATACATAGGTGATAAAATAACTGAAGGCATTGTCATGTGTCAGAAAGTGAATCGTTCCTTGGAACTTGGTTATTAGTGATGAGATATACTTACAAATATTTTCCTTGTTCCACAGCTTCCATTTGAAATGGAGATTTATTACATCCAGCATGTGATGCTCTATGTTGTGCCCATCTATCTGCTGCATAAAGGAGGTAGGTAGGCAGATTACTCTGTATGGATTGAACTGGTCCTGTGAAATGAAAACACTGTTTACTGGATACCACCAGTCTTATTCTTACCCTTTTTTAACCAATTTTCTCTGGTTTTAATTAATAGCTCCTGTTCTAGTTTTCTAATGTTGAAGTTTTAACCTAGCTAATGAGTTGTGTCAGGCACTGAACCAAAAATTTAAAAAATACTCTTTTGCGTGAAGGGATATTTGAAATGTATTTGTGCAATGTGCATTGTCGTCTTGAGCAGCATCTCTGCCATCTTGCAGTATTCTTAGTTGTTGGTGGGATGTACTTTTAAGATTTTTGCATTCTTGGATGTCTCTTGAGAAGTACTGGAACTCAAAATGAGAACAAAAAATAAAAATTAGCTGTCTTCTTAGATAAATCCCAGAAATTCTGAAACTCCAGTGTAATGTAGTGACACATATCACTGAAATGAACTAGATTGCTTATTATCTCTTCTAACAAGATTGCCATCTTGCATTCACTTATGCCATAATAGTTCAGTAAGTCTGGGAATCCTAAATTGTTTCCCTGGCCAGTGATTTTTCCAATTGCAGAGCCTCAAAGGGAATGTACTATACATTCAGCTGGTGTGATGCTCTGCCCCCATCTAGTGCTGACATGCCTCCAGCTGCATTTTCTAGCAGAGCTGGATTGTTCCATCCAGGAAATAAAATATGATCATTTGTGATCCACATGTTCAGTAGCCTTTAATGAAAACCCTGAGGGTGTGATGTCAAGCAATGGAATACAGTCAGCCTCTTCCATCGTGTTGAATCTATCGTGTTTTATACCAGTGGTCACCTAACAGTCCTTCTTCCTATTTCACTGTAACCTTTGTGTTGCAGTGATCTGATTGCACTGTGAAATTAAGAAAAATGATTCAAAGGAAAAGTGAAGTCTCATACTTCAAAATATGATTCTGTTTCTTCCTTTTATCAGGGAAATATGCCAGCCATGTTTAATTTTAATCCACCCTTGATATCCTAAAATTCTGGCAAATCATGCTAATGTGCAGGGTAGTTGAAGGAGTTACACAAACTCAATCTTTGCAGGAGGAGGGTGAGGAGCAGGGGTCAAAAAACATAAGCAGTCGTGGAGTGAACTGTAGGCAGTGACAAACAGACCTCTTGTGATATCAATAAATCCCTTGCTGGCCTTGGAGTTCCCATCTGAGGTCACTTTAAGACATGTACGTCCTTTGCTTTAAAAAGGCTTGGCCTTGGATGGCGCTTGATGTATTCTTTTAAGTTTTGATTGTTTGGTGGTTTGGTTAGGCTTTTTGCCTGTATCCTGGGGTGGCTTTATGATGCTTGTATCCCCAGTTGCCTGGTTTATGTTACATATTAAGTTCTGCACATTTAAGACTGGCTCTGAGACCAAAGTGGGGGAAGAAGACACTTGCAGTTTCTATTGAGAAAGAGCACTCATTCCCCCACATCCTGCTCCTGGACTGTGTTGTCTGCAGCACAGACAGTAGGACAGACCTCTCCTTCGCTTTTAGTTTTTAGCTAGTTTTTAGCTAGCTGAGGCAGAGAAGTTTCCCTGGACTGTTTTTTTCCTTTGTCTTGGATCTGTTCAAATCTGCTCTGGACTGGAAAACAACAAACCCTGGGAGCTCATGCCTGTGGTACACCAGGGCCTGGGCCTTTGCACTTTGCAGTGCCAGAGGGACTGGTAAGAACCTGAGTGAGCCAAGCTACACCACATGAAAAGGACATTTTTTTCTGGATTTGCTATCTCATTGAACAGCAAGAGGTTTTATTGTTTAATATTATTCAATTTCTGTTAAATAAACATTTTTTTCCACTTTTCTCCAAGGAAATCTTTTTCCCGAACCAGTTGGGGGGATGGGTCACTTAAATTTGCTTTTCTGGGGGGCACCCCCAATTGGAGGTTCTCTCCCAAATTTGTTCTAAACCAGGACAAATACAGTTAATGGCGCCCAATGTATGGCTTGAGAAAGTGGAAAAAACCTGTATTGATTGCTAATTTCATTTTGGTTGTACTTAGTATTGGGATAAAGCAGTCAGTAGCCATGTTGTTTGAATTCATAGTGTCTCTCAGGGTGGAGGCCTTCCTTTGGTTCTGGTCCCTAGACTTTTTTGAGGTTTTAATACCTTTCTGGTCCCTGGATTTATTTTTTTTTCCTGAGATAGCTCCAGTATTGTCCCTAACACAAAGCTTTCACAGTAGAGGGTCACAGATTAGAATAGCTATTGTACTGGGTTCGGTGATAATGATTTATATGAAGTTCATACAAGTACTGAAGTTTGTGCCAGGCATGTTTGGCTTATGGTTTCTTCGTCTGACCCTGCCTCCGAGTCCCAGTAGCATGTTTTGGGGGTTTATTAGTAATTGCACACGGTTTGTTGAGGAGAAGCAAGGGATGAGGTTTTTCAGCCTTTCCTTGCTTTCTTCTCCTTTGAATCTGTCATGTCCCATTTTGAAAATATTCAGTTTCTCCTGAGTGTTAAGGACACCACTTACCTGGTATTTTATCTAGTAAGCTTCCTCTATATGGTCGGCAACTTCTCTAGAGTGAGGGCTGAGATGTCCAGAGGAGCTGATGAGACCCCTGCCCCTGAGAAGTAGATCCAGGTGTGAAAAATTCTGAGTGGTGTGGAGAATGGGAGAAAATGGGCTGGCCCCTGAAGAAATTTTCTGATCCCCATCCTGGGAATTTTCATGTGAACAAATTCAGAACCCAGCTGAAGTGGGGAAGTATCTGGAAGAGAATTGCTATGATGATTTTAAGGAGAAAAATATCATTGCAATAAGCTAAGCCCTAGTGTATTCTTATTGCACACTGCTAGATACTGTGAGTCAGGGAGATAAATCAGCAGCTACCCCAGTCACTCAGGCTGCAGCTAAGGCAGTAGCTAAACCATACAGTGAGCCCAAGCCAATGGTTGTTGCTCCTTCCACGAGAGGCATGAAATTCAAAACCAAAACCGATCGACCAGTGGATGATGATAATGGTGATGCGGGGGAAGGACCCTCAAGACCAGCAACTGACACAAAATTAGAAGGCCCAAAATCAGTGAGCCCTTCTCCCTGAAGGACCTTCGTGGCCTAAGAAAGGATTACACTCGACGACCTGATGAATCTATAATTAGTTGGTTAGTCCATCTGTGGGGCACCACAGGTGAGGCTACAGTTCTGAAGGGTACTGAAGCAAGGCATCTGGAATCCCTGTTGCATGATCCAGTTATCAACCAAGGAATGATGAAGGGGGCTGACCCTCACAGTCTCTGGGAACAGATACTGGGAAGTGTGGCACAAAGATATCTGTGTTCAGATGATCTCTATATACAGCAAACTGTATATAGAGATCATTGGAAGACCATAGAATAAGGAATTCAATGCTTGAGAGAAATGGCAGTGGTAGAGATTGTCTTCTTAGATGACCAGAACACTAGGAATCCAGACTTGGTACCATGTACATCCGTGATGTGGCGAAAACTTGTATGACTTGGGCCACAAGAATACGCTTCTGCTTTAGCAAAGATGAAGTGGGATGATGGAGGAGACCATGCTGGATATGGCAAAGAGGCTTCAAGCATATGCAGATGCCGTGCATGGCCCCATGCATGCAAGAATTGCAGCTGTGGAAACATGTTTGCAGAACTTAGAAGATAAGATAGAGGAGAATCACAAGAAACTCAGGGAGGAGCTTCTTCCAATCTCGGCAGTACAGACCAGGAGCCCTGGTTCTCAATGCTGAAGTTCTCCAGATAAGGAGAAAAAGCTATGAGCTGAGCTATGGTTCTTTCTGCGTGACTGTGGAGAAAACATGAAGAGATGGGATGGAAAATCTACTGCTGCTCTGGCAAAATGGATGCTTGAACTGGAAGACAGCAAGACTCAAAGAGGAAGTACCACCAAAAAAAAAGCCTCTCCAGTAGCCTGTAGCCAAACTGACAGGTATGATGATGATGACACTGTGTCCAATCCCCTTGAAGGAACCTCCAAGAGAGATGCGCAGAAGAAGAAGGATAACCAGGCTTAGAGGGGTCCTGCCTCTAGCCAAGTAGAGGCTAGGGAAAACCATGTCTTTAGGACTGTGTGGATTCATTGGCCTGGCACTTCAGAACCACAAAAATATGAGGCCTTGTTGACAGTGGTGCACAGTGCACATTAATCCCATCAAGACATGTGGGGGCAAAATCTGTTTCTATTGCTGGCATGACAGGGGGATCGCAGGATTTTACTTTGGTGGAAGCTGGAAATGAGTGGAAGAAACACCCTATTGTGACTGGCACAGAGGCCCCATGGGGACTCAGGTGGGTGTTTGGGATAGCAACTGTAGAGACAGAGGGGATCAAGCAATTGAACACCTTGCCTGGACTATCAGAAAACCCATCTGCAGTAGGAGTTTGAACGGGGAAGATCAACGAGTACCAATTGCTATGTCAACAGTGAACCACTGGCAGTATAGAACAGCTCGAGATGCTGTGATTCCTATCCACAAGATGATCCATGAGCTGGAGAGCCAAGAGGTGATCAGCAAAACCCACTCACCCTTCAACAGCCCCATTTGGCCTGTGCGCAAGTCTGACAGAGAATGGAGATTGACGGGGGACTATCGTGCATTGAATGAAGTGACTCCACCACTGAGTGCTGCTGTGCCAGACATGCTGGAGCTCCAGTACGAGCTGGAGTCCAAGGCAGCGAAGTGGTACGCCACTATTGGCATTGCCAATGCATTTTTCTCCATTCTCCTGGCAGCAGAATGCAGGCCTCAGTTTGTCTTCACCTGGAGGGGTGTGCAGTACACTTGGAACCGACTGCCCCAGGGGTGGAAGCACAGCCCCACCATCTGCCATGGACTGATCCAGGCTGCACTGGAAAAGGGTGAGGCTCCAGAACATCTGCAGTACATTGATGACATCATTGTGTGGGGGAATATGGCTGTAGAGGTCTTTGAGAAAGAGAAAATCATCCAGATTCTCCTGAAAGCTGGTTTTGCCATC